AAGGGTGGAGGAGGGAAGAAAATATGATTAGAGCACAGGGAGAAAGTTTGAAAGTTCGTGATTCGAAAATCTTTGAGGGGAGGGGTTGGTTAGGCTGGGGTAACGTCTGGGGTTTAGGCTTGGGGCTTTGGCTTGGAATTCAGACGACCTAGGCTTGTTGAAGCTAAGAATTGGGGCTTAGACTTGCGGATTAGGCTTGATTTTTGGCTTAGGCTCAGGCGCAGGCTTCTGCCTGCTCCATTTGGGTTGACGACACCCAGAGCCATTCTCAGGAATGCCAAGTTGAAGCTTAACGGCAAGATAAAACCGAAAATTTGACCCGGATCCGTCTAAGAACAGATAATTCTCACCACCATTGAACCGGCTAGTCTTGCGTGATAGCGGCACTTTTCGAGAGGAACCAAAGGGAACATAAACGCCTCTCGCACCCTTTTCCCCGCCGCTCCCATGTGGTCTAGTGGTTAGGATTCGTGGTTTTCACCCACGCGGCCCGGGTTCGATTCCCGGCATGGGAAGTTTCTTTTTTCTATTTTTCTAGGGACTATTTTCAAAGTTTTTGGACTTGTTAAACGAAATTGGAGAGTAAAATCTGAACCTGCAAGACCTTAGAGCTTGAGACCTTAGACTAGGAGAGCCAAGACCTTAGACCAAGAGAGCTCTCACTCAGAATAACTCAGAATAAAAAAACGGCAAAACTCCACCAAAAGATATAAATGAAACTCGGAAATTAAAACCTAGAGGCCCACCCAGAAATAGTTTTTTTCCTTCCCGAATTATCCGGAAATCGAAAAAAAGGCAGCAGCCAGGAGGACCACATGTCCTCTCCGGGCGCCATGCGGCGGCTGATGAATGATGCTTTCATTTCCGGGGGGCATCATCTCCTCATTCTTCTCATCATCTTTTGTCATGTCAACACCAACAACACTACCACTACACGGGACGGACAAGAGGACAAGGGGGGACAAAGAGGAGAGGAATGGAGCTCTCTCTTCTAAGGGGGAGGGACTATCTAAAGAGTGAAAAGAGAGGGAGAGAGAGATTGAAATTGACTTTGTGTTTGGTTTCATTCCAGCATTATTCAATTAGGTGTATTGGAATGGAATGGAAAGAGGGGGAATGAACCAACATTTGTTTGAGCATGTGTGACATTTTCGGGTTTGGTGTTTAACCTTTTGGGAGATGAATTGGACATTTAGGCACAAGGGTAAGGCTCAAGGTTTGAGCTCAGGCTAAGGCTAGGTCTAAAGCTCGGGCCGAGAGTTGAGGCCCAGCATAAGGCTATGTCTAAGGCTCAGGGTGTAGGCTCAGGCTCAGGGTTTAGGCTCAGGGGTCAAACGAAGGCTAAGAATAAGATCAAGACTAATGCTCAATTCTCAAACTCAGACCTTAGACTCAGGCTCAACTCTAAGGCTCAATTCTAAGGCCCACTCTTCAAACTCCACTAGAGTTTCAAAAATCACAAAAAATCCAAAACAAAACCCTCTATAAAACCCAAAACGCACAACAAAACCCTGTAATTATTGTTATTTCTGCTCTCCGAAAGAACAAGAGAAAAATGAAATGTTTGTGATTTTGGGGGGCTCCTCGGGAGTTCCCTCCCGTGAGCTTAGTCTATCTCAAGAGTCTTTTTCGACAAATATACGGTTTTTTGACAACAACTACGACTCAGGGTTCAAAGTGTGTGCCTAGAAAGAGGGGAGGCTAAGGATAGGCTCAGGGATTAGGCTCTCAGGCTCTCAGGCTCACAGGCTCTCGGGCTCTCAGGCTCTCAGGCTCTCAGGCTCTCAGGCTCTCAGGCTCTCAGGCTCTCAGGCTCTCAGGCTCTCAGGCTCTCAGGCTCTCAGGCTCTCAGGCTCTCAGGCTCTCAGGCTCTCAGGCTCCTCTCTCTTGCTCAGACTAAACAATTTCTGAAAATTGACCAAAAAATGTCACATTTCTCTAGTCTCGCGGTCAAAGAGTCTGGCCCCCATTCATACATTAATGAATAAAAACGTACATAGAATTCATTTGGACTTTCCTCGTTTCATCTCTCTCAATATAATCCAGGAACTATATATATAAAAGCTTGGAGCCTGAGAGCTCAAGGGGAAAACTAATTCAAAAAAAAATGGAGAAAAGAGTCAAAAACAAGTGAAAATGACACAAAGTGCACACAAGATCGGGGACTGAATTTGACATATTTGGATACGTGTAGTTTAGTTAAGATAGGAAAACTTGGAGCATTTCGGAGCTCAGGGAGAGAAGTTTGAAATTGAAATTGTTTCTGGAGAATGAAAGAGAGAAAGAGAGAAAATGAGGTAGTTGAGAAATAATTATAGGTGCTTGGGGGAGGAGAAGAAGACATAGCATAACTGGAAAAAGTTCGTGCCAGGTGTCAGTTGTTATGGAGTTTTAGGGTTAGGATAGAAGGCAGAATGAGCTTGAGATTAGGCCAGAAGGCAGAGTTTTAGGTCAGAGGCAAAGGCTAAGGCTCAGGCTCTCATGCTCTCAGGCTCTCAGGCTCTCAGGCTCTTAGGCTCTTAGGTAAGGCTAAAACTAGAACTAAGGCTAAGAATACGGCTAAGGTTAAGGCTGAAGAATAAGACCTAAGGCCTAAGGCTCAGGCTGAAGCTAAAGCTAGGCCAGAATCAAGGTTTCTAGGTACCAACATCGAAAAATGGGTAGCTCAGCGGTCGGTCAGTACATCTGGGTCTCAGGCACAAAGGGAAAATGGCTCAGGTTTAGTCCTCAGTCCTGAATGCTCATTTCACGTGTGTTCGATCCACTAGTCATCATCATAATAACAAAAACTTGCTGTCAAAAAAACGCTTCACTCCTGACTATACAAATTCATATAACGTGTCTTAAAAACCAACATGACGCAAAGTTAACTTGGTCGGAGAAAGCCTTAGGGCCCAGGAGCACAGGGGCCTAGAGCCCAGAGGTCTAAGTGTCCAAAAAACCCAAATGCCTACGATTGGAGGCCTGAGGAAGGAAAATATAGGCTTGGACTATCCTGAGTTATACTAGGCAAAAGGTCTGAAGGCTTCAAAAAGGCTGACCTAAGGCCTCAAAAGGACTAAACTCAGGCCTCAGGAAGAGTGATCTGAGGTTTCAGAAAGGCTGACCTGAAGTCTCAGAAGGACTGGCCTGGGAGCCCAGAAGTCCTGAACTAGGCTTAGACCACACAAGCAGCTGACTTCGATTAAGAAAAAACATCAATCACCAGCTCATGCATTTTTCTAATTTTCCCACCCAATTCCTCCCCGCTCATTAGTTTTTTGGGTGGTGTAATAACAAGATACTTGTTTTCCAGACCTCTTCCAGAAACTCCACTCTTTTCTCTTCCACAAAAAAACTTTGACCTATATCTTCTTCCAAAAGAATTTTTATATCCGATTAAAACTTTTTTCTTTCCAAAAAAAAGTGTCCACTAGGTACAAAATGAGTGTAGCATCGATCACTCTCTCTCTCTCTCTCTTTTAAAGCCCCGGATGACGTGTTGCGTCATCCGGAAAAGGGATGGGTTGTAACAGAGAGACAAGTTTTTCAAAAAAAGAGAGTTTTCAGAGAGAGGCGTACCCCGGGAAATGGGGTGGAAACGGAAACTGACGAGGGTGGGAGAACAGAAAACAATGGGGAACTGGAATGGATCTGGAATTTTCAGACGGTTATAGGGTGCTTTGGAATCTTGGAGGCTCAAGCCAGTGAAGAGGAACTGTAAGACCTGGCGAAGAATTTGGATTGAAAGCTGGAGAGAAAGAGAGAAAGAGAGAGAGAGCGAGAGAGAGAGCGAGAGAGAGAGAGAGAGAGAGAGAGAGAGAGAGAGAGAGAGAAAGAGAGAGGTACTACCACAACCAGCAAGCACAAGAAGGAGAGCGGCCAGAGAAACGAGAGTGTCTACCTGTCTGCGTCTGTATGTACCACCCCCCCCCCCCCCCCAAAGTTTGAACGCATATATCTCTGCAACTAGAAGAGCTATCAAAAAGTTGTCAACTAAAGAAATATGTAAAATTGCACGCTAAACAAGATTGCAGTTGAAACTTTTTGTCTGTCTTTTATAGTTTTTGCGATATAACAGTTCTAAATGAGGTCATCAAGCTATTTGTGAACTCTACACAGAAAAAGGCAGAGAGACCAATTCTACCGGTACTACACTAGAATTCTTCACTTTTATTGCATCTAGGTTCTAGGAGAGCTACCATAATTTTGGAACAGATTAGGCGGGGAAATAAGGAATTCAAAAAGAAACCTCAAACTTTCTCCTTTTTTGAATTGACCAGAGGCAGCTGTCTCCGTTGGTTCCTGAAAATTCAAATCTCATAATTTAGAAAATTTCTGAAAATGCAAAAAAATTCGAGAAGAATGAGCCAAAAAAGAAAGGAACAACCACAAAAAAAAGGAACCTACAGTACCTCTCATCCCCTTGTTTTTACTCAACGAAAAATCCTATATAATCTCCAGAATTCAGTTCCTTTGGATCTCCAAAAACCATCAGAATCCTCATTTCCAAAGAATCGAAATCCATTATGACAAAAAAAAACATTTTCTAATTAATTTTTGGTTTTCTGGAAAATAATTAGGGGCTGGCTCAGAGAGGATAATGGAGGTGTCACCAAAATATGGGGATGGATTTTGAAATTTTCGAAGAAATCAGTTGGTGAGAAAAAAAGGAAACAATGAAATTGGAGAAGAATGTGTGAAAAAAAAGAGAAAAGCGGGGGTAGGATGGGGAGGAAATTCGAAGAAAAAAGAAAAGCAATAAAAATGTTTTGAACGAAAATGAACAGGCTGAAGATTAGGAGGCAAAATGGGGTATATCAAAGTCTAGTTCTTGAACTTTTTATGGGAAAACCCATAGAATTTTTGCAAGTTTTTGAGCATAAATAGTTATGAAGAAAGCAAAACACATTTTTTGATCGTCCCTCTTTTTCACCAAAAAATGGTCGGACCACGCCGTGGAAAACCTTGATTTCAGTCCGGACCATGTCAAAAAGCTTGCTTCGAAACTGAAAAAATAGTTACCTCAGGCAGGTTTGAACCCAGGGCCAGTTGGGTCGAAACCAAAAACCCTACCGGCTGCGCTACACGGCCAGAAGACGCGTAGCGCAGGCGGCAGAGCGTTTGGTTCAACCATACCCCTTAGGTCCGAACCCGCGAGTTCCACCTTCCGTCGAGGCGACAAAACTAAACTGCTAGACATCAGAATTCCAAGGAATTTGGAAAATATTTTTCTGTAATTTTTGGGCTATAAAAAAAAATGAAATTTGGCCTTTTTTTTTTCATTATATTTTTGCCTCCCGAAAAAAAAACCTAAGATGAATATATGACTCAGAACAGACAAAATAGGATCCTGTGAGACAATAAAATGAAAAGAAAACGGAAGAAAAATAGGGGGAAGGTATTCGGATATTCATCCCTTTGTTTTCAAGGTTCCAACGTTCGGTTTTCGGTGTTTTTTGGAGGATGAGACATCATATTTGTGGTAGAAAAATTGGAAAAACAGGGATTAAAAACAGAAGGATTTGGGGAATACAGTAAGAAATTCTTGGCCAAAAATTTTGAATTTTTTCCCGAAATCGAAGCCAAAAGTACAGAAAAAAAAACACAAAAAAGTTTATTTTTATTTTTTTTTGTTTCCATACTCCCCTACTTTCTCATCCTCCGTCCTCAAGTGTGTGTCGTATCTGGGGTGCTATCGTCCTTAGGTGTCAGATTTCGCGGCGCGGATAGACTATAAAAAGTTTATCAAGAAAGAAAAAATGGATGTAGGGCTTGAGGTGGGTAGAAATGGAAGAAATTAGGCGTAAGGATCATCGTGCTCTCCATTACGGAGCTTACGGAAAGATTTTAATGGGGCTGCATGTTCAGAGCAGTATATCTCGGTTGGATTTGAAAATTTCAAAAAGTAATCAACTAGAGGAATGTTTATCAGAAAATTTTCAGTGTTTTGTTAGTTGAAAACTTTATGACAGCTCTGAAGACAAACGAGATATGCTGCTCTGAACATAATGTACTGGGTGCACTCCATTACGGGGTTTACGATAAGGCTTGGATGAGACTGCATGTTCAGAGCAGTATATCTCGGTTGGTTTTTAAAATTTCAAAAAGTGATCAACTAGAAAAATGTTTATCGGTACATTTTAAGCAATTCATTAGTTGAACACTTTTTAATAACTCTAAAGACAACTGAGATATGCTGCTCAGAAGATACTGCACTGGAAATACAAAGCTTACTGTGAATTTTGAAGCAAGACAGCTCATTTTTTTTGGATTTTCGAAATTCTGAGATCTAGATTTTGTAGATCAAAAAATTTCCTACCGATTGGTATATATTTGATATAGGGTTGTATCAGAAATTGTAATCAGAAAACTGGTCAAAATTTAGAAAAAAAAATCCTCTCAAAATTTTTTTTTCATTTCTCATTTTTGATTTCTCGATTTTTCTCCACTAACCCCTATATGAAATTCACACCAATCGATAGATAATTTTTTGATCTACAGTCTCCAATTTCTAGAAACTCTCAATTTCTGAAAAATGAGCCCTCTACTCTCAAAAAACTGACCCTAACTACCACATCACCCAGTTTACTAATTCGAATCACTGTCAACTTTATATGAAAACCCCCCCACTCAAAATGACATCATGACCAAGTCGTTTGTCAAACATAACATGACAAAAATCACCGGCAAAACACATGACTTTTGGATTTTGAGATATAGGAAAAAGTAGGGGAGGAGGAAGAACAAGGAGTTTCAAGTGGAGGTAAGAGCACATAACTCGAACATTTTTAATCGAAACTTTCCTAGGGGGAAAATGAGAAAATAAAGGAGAAGATGTCAGTTCCATAAAATAATTCCAAGAATACGGATTAAAAAAGTTCAGAACCAGGAGAGGGAGGGGAAAAGAGAAAAGCCAAGTGCCTTGGGGCGGTAATAAATGAGTCAGAGTTGGAAAATGGAAGAAAGGGTGGGATGGGATGAAATGGGATGAAAGTTAAATGTCTACTAGACTGTCCTGGGGAGGTGTCTGGGTTTATAGCGGGAAGTTTGGTCCTAGGCTCTAAATCAGGTTGGGTCTAGGGATCAGGGACAGCTTTGGACGGAGCTAGGGGATCAGTGCCAACCTTAGGATCCCATGGTCAAAAACGGGGTACTGCTAAGACAGCGGAGCTTAGAAACAAGCAGGGTCCGCGTGGCGCAACTGTAACCGGCCTTGCCTGGGCTCTGGGCTCAATAGGCTTAGATCAATAGGCTGGGCTCATTCTAGACTTAGGCTTAGCCCAGAACTCCTGGCTTAGACCCCATTTCAGGACCAAGAAACCAAAACAAAATAAGTCGAAAAAAAAAGTTTCGAAATCCCCTCTCTCTTATTGAAACACACATAGAAAAACTGTCTATGTTGACAGTTCCATGTGTATCTCCCCCCTGTGGATAGCTAGCTACACATTTTCTACCAGTAAAAGCCGCCAGGAGGCTCACAGAGACGAAAAATGAGCACACAGAGACGCTTTAGCCCCCCTGAGCCTTTAGGGGGGTATATTTGCCTTCTTGTCAAATGTACTTGGAGTGAGAAAATCTCTTTTTCTCTCTTGCGGTAGAAAAGAATGGAAAGTTGAAGTTTTGGACAGGTTCGGTGGGGAAAATATTGGTTTTAGGGGGAATAGTCTAAGCATAAGCTAGAGTCTAAGGCCTGAGAGCCTGAGAGACTGAGAGCTTGAAAGCCTGAGAGCCTGAGAGCCTGAGAGCCTAAAAGCCTGAGAGTCTGAGAGCCTTAGAGCCTGAGAGCCTGAGAGCCTGAGAGCCTGAGAGCCTAAGAGCCTTAGAGCCTGAAAGCCTGAGAGCCTGAGAGCCTGAGAGCCTGAGAGCCTGAGAGCCTAAGAGCCTGAGAGCCTGAGAGCATAAGAGCCTTAGAGCCTGAAAGCCTGAGAGCCTGAGAGCCTGAGAGTCTGAGAGCCTGAGAGCCTGAGAGCCTGAGAGCCTGAGAGCCTGAGAGCCTGAGAGCCTGAGAGCCTGAGAGCCTGAGAGCCTGAGAGCCTGAGAGCCTGAGAGCCTGAGAGCCTGAGAGCCTGAGAGCCTGAGAGCCTGAGAGCCTGAGAGCCTGAGAGCCTGAGAGCCTGAGAGCCTGAGAGCCTGAGAGCCTGAGAGCCTGAGAGCCTGAGAGCCTGAGAGCCTGAGAGCCTGAGAGCCTGAGAGCCTGAGAGCCTGAGAGCCTGAGAGCCTGAGAGCCTGAGAGCCTAAGAGCCTCAGAGCGGGACTCTGCTCCAGCATTTTCTAAGATCACCCGTCAAAAAAGCAAAACTTGCTCCAAGTGACCTTTACCGATTCCAAAAATATATAGGCTAGACACTTGGCTCCTCCCAGAGCAAAAGTTTTCTTGCTCCACCACCTCGAAATCTTGTGTCGGCTCCAGCTCCAATTATAAATGGCCGGAGGGCACACCACAAACCTTTTTTTTTGTTCGCCATTTTCTACACTTTTCTGACTTATTTCGTCAAAAAGGGTAGAAAAATGGGGGCCTACGACACAGAATGTGATGAATGAGCGTGGACTTTGTTCCTGAAAACCCATATTTTTGGGTCTTCGATGTTTCTTTTTTTCTGCAAAACTGAGCAAGAAAAAAGTATTGAAGAAGGTGAGGAAAAGGCGGAAATTCAGTTTGCACCACCACCTCATTTCCATTTTTTTTATGGGGCTGGAGAAACGAAATTGAATGCAAATTTAGTGGATTCAAATGGATGGTGCATTTGAAGTTCATCGAAGTTTGTGCGGAATAAGAAAAAAGTGTTGGTGGAGGGGATGGGGCGAAGAAGGCGGAAATAGAATTCTGGAGGGGTTTTAGTTAGGCTTAGGAAGGGAGAACTCAGGTTTAGGGGAGCTGGGACTCAGGTTTAGACTTGGGTAGTCAATCCAGTCGGGTTCGTCGGGTGTTTTGGCTGAAAGGGAAGGTAGAACTCAGACTTAGATAATCTTGGCTAACAAGTCTTTTGGATTAAGGTCAATTTTGAACGTTTTGAGTTTAGGAGGAGGGTTAGGAGGAGGTTTAGAAGGAGGGTTAGAAGGAGGATTAGGAGGAGGCTGAACCAAGCTCAAACTGGGACTTAGTAGGCTTGTGCTCAAGCTCAGAAACAAGCTCAGACCCAATTTCAGTAGGCTCAGGCTCAGCCCAAGCTTTTCCAGAGGCGCACACCCTTACACAGGAGGTGCCACTCTATTAGAGGTCCACCAAGAAAACCTAACATCACCTCAACAGCCCCTCAGAATACCCTCAGAACTTTTAGAAAACAAATAGCTCATCATTTTTAAAAATTCCTCGTCCAATAAAAACATCCTCTCTCAGGAAACACCCACTTCCTGAACGTAATCAGAATTTAATTAGGTACACCCCAAAGAAATAGAAAAGAGTTCCAAGAAACACAAAAATGACAAGTTCAAAGGGTCATGAGAGCATGAAACTCTAGTCGTTTTTTTGTGATTTTCGCGTTGATTTCTGCAAAAAAGTGTCCGGGGAAAACATTGTGTATCCTATCCTATGGCACAATCATCAGGGGGTCATACAACAGTTGTTCGGTGCTCCCGGGGCTCCCGGAGCACACATGGGAGCGGCAATGATAAAATTGATGGGATGCAGTAGATCATTCACCAGAAACACTCCTCGGTTTTATTGTTTGTGATAAATTTAGGGGGAGAGGGAGGCGAGAAACTTTTTTTGAGGAGCTGGAGTTGGAGAAGAGGAGGAAGTTGAGTTTAATGAGGTGCAAAGAGTCAGGGAACATTTGTCTTTGAGAATGGGGCCTAGGGAGCTGTGCTGAGCCGGAGCTTGGGTCTGAACTGGGGTCTGAGCTTGAGCCTGACCCCGCAGCCAAAACCTAACTCCTGAGCCTGAGCCTCAGCCTTAGCTTCCTGCTAAACCTTTTCCTAACCCTTCTCCTAAACCTACCCCTAACCTTCCTCCTAACCCCAAAACATCCAAAATTGACCTATGAGATATCATCATCTCAAGAAACGTGACAAAATTAGAAAAAACGGGTGAAAATTGAAGACATTCGGGAGCTCTCAAGTTTCCATATGTATATGGGCTCATCAATAACTTT